CTCCTGAGTTTGGGGGAGTGCAGCAGCCAGGTGGGAGCAGCCGCAGCCATGCAGAGGGACACGAGGAGGAATTCAGTGTCCACATACAGCTGCAATAAGTAGGCAGGAAATGCAGCATGGCTGTGTGGGGCCGTCGCATGCCCAGGGGCAGCTTGGGTTCCATGGCAAACAGCAAGAAGGCAAAAAGCTGTGTCATCTCCAAAAAGCACAGGGCACACACAGCTGAAGCTTTGCTTTGCCAAAGAGGCTAGCAAGCAGGCAACAGAGACAGAGAAGCAGCTGTCCAAGGGGGGTCCCTTTAAGCGCGCGTTTCTGGAGGGCTTCCAGCAACAGCACTCAAGAGCAACTGGTGACCTCTAGCCCGGATAGAACCGGTTCTGGGTAGCTTTATATGCAGGAGAGCATCCAATAGCATGGACGCTCTCTTGTGCAAAAGCACATTGCAAAAGCAATGTGCTTTGAGGTGTGGACGTGCTCTTGTGCAAGAAATTTTTGCGCAAAAATTGCGCAAAAGGCTTCTTGCATAAGAAGCCTGTAGTGTAGACATAGCCTTACTGGTACCTAGCTCTCATATAGCACGTTACATCTGTAGATCCCAAACCTCTTTACAAAGGGGCTCAGAACCATTATCCCCATTTATGGAAGGGGCTATGTTAGTGTGTGTTTTAAGGTCCTGAGTCTAGTCATTTGCACTGTTAATTAACGACAGACCTTAATACTTGCATTCTGAGAAATGAGAGAAAGTTTGTACAGTTTCTTGTTTTATGTAGAAACAAAACATTAAACATGCTGTCAATGTGATTACTAACAAGACTACACATACCTCCTCTGTATTAAAGAGAGAATTGTTGACCTTTTATTGACTGAGTATATCTAAAACTAAAAGCAAAATATTTATCCAGTCTAGTATGTCAGTAGTTTATAACAATACAGTAGGTTTCCTCTCAGTGGGCTCTTTCTCTTCTGGAATCTTAGGTATTTTAATATGCATTTCTGATTCTGGGATTGTTTATTTAATTAGACCTATATATCAATTGATTATAAATGATAGACAATGGTAATGCTAATGAAAAAATCACAGCTTTACTAGGTGTTAAAATGTTTCCTACATTGCCTCTCTCTATATATAAACGTGGATGGAAGCAAATAATCATATTGCCTTTCATCTACAATTATGGACATGTGGGGCTGTGAGCATGTGTCACGAGGCTGCAAACACTCTGTCCTTCCCATATTAATACATGTATGGGGCACTGATTACTTGGGAGAGGAGCTGAAGGAGGTCCTGCTTTGGAAAAAGTTAAAAGCTACTGGTCTAGCATCATTATGATATATCAAAATGAAGATTGAAAACAAATACAAACAAATTCAAAATACTAAGTTTGTACCAAATTCATGTGTGGCAATGACTATTTAGAAAAAAAATCAAGATAACAGCAATAAAAATACTATTAGCATGTACTTCTTGTACAAAGACCAACAGATAAAGAGAGATTTTATTTTTAAAGGATAATAAAAAAATCTAATATCTGCAGTGAACTATGAACAGGGTCTGCTGATACTTTTTTCCTGTGCTTTCCCTGAGAGAAGTATATCTCTTGAGCAGTGTTTCCTGAAAAACAAGAAAAAAAATCAAACAGAACATTAAGATGGTACATAGTTATGAGAAAAACTAATGGTGTCATTTTCAAGATTCCTTGGTATTCTTTATTGTATGCTTCATTCTACAGTCGTAACTTGAATTATCCCTAAATGTACCTCAACAGTGCTCTGACAAGGGCAGAATTTCAAGAGGGTAGGGCTCCCTCTACCAGCCAGATGTGAAAGGCATACACTGAATGCAAGTACTTTCCCCTCATTCCCTGAGGGTATGTCTACACTAGAAAGTTAGTTCGAACTAGCTAGTTCGAACTAACACATCTAGAACTAAAAACTAGTTCGAACTAGCAAAACGCTAGTTCGAACTAAGCGCTCCGCTAGTTCGATTCAAATTCGAACTAGCGGAGCGCTTAGTTCGAACTAGGTAAACCTCATTTTACGAGGACTAACGCCTAGTTCGAACTAGCAAAACGCTAGTTCGAACTAAGCGCTCCGCTAGTTCGATTCAAATTCGAACTAGCGGAGCGCTTAGTTCGAACTAGGTAAACCTCATTTTACGAGGACTAACGCCTAGTTCGAACTAGCAAAACGCTAGTTCGAACTAAGCGCTCCGCTAGTTCGATTCAAATTCGAACTAGCGGAGCGCTTAGTTCGAACTAGGTAAACCTCATTTTACGAGGACTAACGCCTAGTTCGAACTAGCGCTGTAGTGTAGACGTACCCTGATAGTCTGGGGAATCGGATGAAAAGCAAGCCACATCCCAGTGCGCATGGCTGTTGGTCCCTCTAACCTCCCAAAATTCAGCCCTTGTATACTGGATGCTTGTTATATACCATAAAGCTAAAACATGAAAGGGAAGCAGAAGGACTATACTTTGCAGCATAGATTTACTCACAAACATCCTTAATAACATTCATGTCAGATTATTTGGCACAGCTATGTCTCTATGTGGTATTTGCAAAAAATATCTGCATAGGAAGAAAATTTTTTTAATTGTTTTATTTTGATCAAACAAGGGTATAAAGTAATGGACTGGTGCCTAACTTTTCTTTCATTCCAAAGGTTCAACAACAGATCCCCACTCTCTGCTATTAGTTGAATCCATCAATTAATCAAAAGCTTCACTAAACAACTAGGTTGTGCTCTGACACTTACCAAACCCAGGTTATAATGGACTGATGGAGGAGGGAGGAAATCCAAAGGAGATGCAAACACCTTGCTTCTGGCTCACAAGATTACTCCGAAAACCAACAAGAAGACTGACTGAATGGAATGTAGTTCTCATTTTAGGATGTAGTGAAAGTAAACCAGTTGCCAGGTCACTTACATCTTTGTGGATTGTATAGTATAACCAAAACCAACTGCTCTCAGAAAAGGTAAGGGATCAAAGGAAGAGAATATTTGTGTTGTACTCTTCTAGTGGAAATGGGCTAATGCGCACGAGCTGCAATTTTGTGTGACTATTTAAGGGTAGCCCTAAATGGAGAACTCAATCTAGCCCTCAGTTTACAAAAGTGAGTATCAGAGAGGAGTGGTCAGGCCATCTTTATGTGGAGTAATGAAACAGAATCAGCAAGAGCTGACACCTGACAATCCACAAGCTGTAATGTATCCGGTATGACTCGGACTCTGAGTAAGAGAATTATGTAAGGATGAGCATGCAGATATTCTGAAAACAGCCAAACTGGAGATGCTTCACAAAATCTGAAACTAACCTTGAGTCCACTCTAAGTTGTGCAGGAAAGCAGACCAGCACACTGCCAGCTCAAAATCAGAGTGCAAAAGCCACTTTTGCATGCCTTCTCCAGAGCTTTCTTGAGTAACCTTGGCCACAGTTGAGACTTCTACTTTTTTTTATACAAGCTGTAGATGTAAAGATCCTTGAGAGTTGCAAGCAAATTATCAATCGCCAGACCTCTAAAAGGAGCCTTTAACACAGTTGTGCCAAAGAAAAACTAACTTTGATTCTTCACTGAGAATTAGCTCTTTAAATGACAATCTTCAGATGACCAAAGATAATGGAGCTACATAATGAAAGACATATGGTAGCAAGAAGCTTATCATTCCCCAAATACCTTCCACTAAGTATATGAAAAGCATGTGTGTTCCCTGGATAGCTTAAAGAAAAATGGAGAGTGTATGCAAAAGAATTAATGCCCAAATTTGCAAATATAATGAATATGCAATGCCCTTTTGACATAAATATAAACTATACTGATTATTAAAATCTAAACGTCAATGCACGGAATGAGCTTTAGAAGCAAACAAAAAAATTGCTCTGTTCCTTGATGGCTCTGGTATATCCTTACACTGGTGTCCAGGAATTCTGGCAGTAACTTGTGGCTTTCCCTATTGTTGCTCCTTGCCTAGAACTGGAGGAGGCCTGTGGATGGTTACTAGAGCTGCGAGATGATCCAGCTACTTCCTGCCATCAGTTGTGAAAATAGTGTAAGGAGCTTCTGGCCCCTAGTTGGTTGCCTGTCCCTGGTTCTGCCTTCTCTCTTGTTTCCTGGCTTGTGGAAAACTTGACTATCCACCAAATTTGCCTGTTCAGAAGATAAAGAAAGTCAGCTTGTGGGTGTGTGGGCACTTGTGGAGATGCCCCAGTGCAGAGTCCAGTGGGGCGGCAGTCTCACAGCAAAGTCATAGGGTTTGAACCTGGGGACAGAGCTTGGTCCTTCAAGCATTATGGGATCCTGGCTCAAGCTAGGGTTAGCCCAATTTGTGTATAGATGAAAGGCAGATTAGAGTTTAGACTGAATTTGAACTGTAGATTTATATTGCATTGTATGCATATGTTGTGGTTCCTGAGAAGATCTAACCATAGAGATCCTACACAGAGCAGCCCTAATCATAGAGATGCAAAATAGAGTGACTCCTCTGCTTTCCAAATCAGGACAAATAAGCCCCTGTCTTCTAGGCAGGAGCCAAAGAGAATGACGGTGACTGAACAGTTCTGAGAACAAGCAATTCAAAATTTGTTGCTGAATACAATAATACAATAATTGCTATTGCCATGACTCTGGTAATGGGACCCATAAAACCTGAACATCTAACAGTATTCCATATAAAGTATCTGCATACTCCAGCTTTTGAGCTTAAAATGTAGTTCCTGTATTCATTCTTGCAAGTAAAACTCACTTGCTGGAATGCATATGGAGAGTAAACACATGACACATGTGAGCACAAAGTACTTTTACTTTCAAATCTGAGTAAATATTTGTGGATAATGATTTCCATTATTTACACAACTCTCTAGTGTTAATTAAACAGAAACTATGCTAGTAAGTTGCTTCAAGAGGCACTGAAAAATTGTAGGTAGATAATAAAGGATGTTATTTTCCTCTGAAATTTGGAATCTTGTGTTTTACAAGACATCTTTGGGTTTTTTTCACAAAGCTAGCTAGCTAAGAGCAGTAAAGATGGTGAGAGAGCATTCTCAAAAGAAGGAAATAATCTCTGTCTTTGAAAGAAAGAATATTCACAGGAGAGCATTTCTTTGTTTCATCTATGATTTTAGCTAAATTCCAAAACCACAGTGTAATCTGCTGCATTGCACCACATATATCTAGTGTAAAAGAGGGCAGAACTGGGT